AACTAAGGTGTTGGCTATATGAGTAGAGAAGAAATGGCAAGATGTGGCTTTGGATATGTTGGGCGAGGGAGAATGACGAATTAGGCTAACATTACTGGAAATTACAGGGAAAAAAATCATTCTTAGGGATCCAAGATTTATGAAATGGTAGAAACTATGCAACATATCACTGAAGGTCACAAAAATTTAGCATCTATCAGATACCTTAAAAATTGTCAGGAAGCTAGAATTACATGCCAGAAGACTGTTATCCTTCATAAATCAACAGACAACAAATTCCTGTAACTACAAATACAAATTCCCCCAAACCACTGAGAATTCAAAAAGTAAACTATATTGAAACTGGATGACTATTACAGATAGATCCTAGGCTCTGACACTGTGGATGACTCTGGATTCCAGAATCCTTTCATGTAATACAAATATGTTTCTCTTCTAAGCCAATGTTGCCTTTAGCTATAATTCTTGGCTAAATAGAGTATTTGCTGGCTGAGATAATTTTGGGGTTCTTTGGGGCCCCTCACTATAGCAACTGTTTTATGTGTTAGATTTTTGAACATTTATAAAGAAAGGCCCCATCTTGGACTTTCTTCACCTACTGTTTTTCAGGACTGAGAGTTTTAACAGATTAGGTTGTAGTTATTAGAGTTTTATGAAATATCTTCTCATCCTCAGCTTTTCTTCTAATTTAATGTTAATTTTTGACTTTTTCTCTGTCTTTCCAATGATCTGACTACACACAAACAGCTGATTCTGAAATTATTCCTTTTGCCAGTAACCAGTAGTTTCATGTCTGCTAAGATTAATTTCATTTTATATGATGTTAATCTGTGCTTGCCATGCCTACATCCTAAATCTCTTTTGGAAGAAAGTATTCATATAGTGTTTAAAATGTTGGATCTCGAGTCAGGGATACTTGAGTTCAAATCCTACCTAATACTTATTAGCTATGTGATGATGGGCAGGTCTTCTAACTTTTCTGAGCCTCAGTTTCCTCTAAGGAAATTTGAGGAGGTTGTACTTCTGACTCTAAATATGTAATCTTACATTTCCATATAGTTATGAGATTTCTGAATATGCTTCAAAACTTCAAACCTTCTTAACCCTAAACCATGTTTTAAAACTTATTTTTCACCCTCTTCTCCTATGCCAATTTTAGCATTAAAGTTACAAACATATGTATATCAAAGGATACATTGATTTGGTTGGAAAGATCCTATCAAATTCCTTGTAGCATTTCTCTCCCTCCTCCCCTCTGTAGCAGATGCTGGTATCCAGGTTGCATTTATCTGCATGGTTCTTCTTTTGCTTATTATGTGCATCATGAACAATGCAAGTTGATATCAACCAGGCTTCTCATAAAATGATGTTTCACATCGTCTTTGGATACACAATGAAATTAACTGCACTAACTTTTTTTTTCCCTCTCCAGAGCACACCTGTCAGCCATCTATCCATTTAGCTACAACTTCCTTTTGTTTCATTTATTGTAAGAACGTCGATAATGATATGGGTCACTTCTTCAAATAGTATGTCATTTCACTGATCATTGGACAAATACTCCACACATAATGTTCCAACAGTTAATGTTTAATTAATGTTAACCTCTACTCTCTTTTCTCTCACCACCAATATTGTAGAAGCAAAAAGAAGTTTCCTAAAAGTAATGGCCATTTTTCTCCTTTTCTCTTTGTTTAGTGGGTTGCTGTGGCCAAAGAATTTCTTTCTTTTTCTGTCTCTCTCTCTTTGTCTGTCTGTCTGTCTGTCTGTCTCTCTCTTCACAAGCAAACTCAGTCTGAATCAAATGCCTTTTATCATGGTAGGGCCTACTAGAACTTGTGGTCTGTAGCCTTCAACCTCCACATTTCACTTCTATGCTCTGATGAGACACTGGAGGAGGATTTGGGGGAGGTCTTAGAAAGATCCACGGAGACCATGTTCTCAGTGTAAGTCCTGTGTTTGTTTACCTAAGTCTTTCAATGCCTCTTATCAGGATAACATCTACTGAAAGGATAATGGGCTCTGAAAGAAAATATTTACCTGGCAAGAGATCTTCAATTAATGTTTTCTTTAAAAGAAACAGCAATGAAAACCATCAGTAAACCAGATGGCTTAATTCAACTACTTCACTTTAATAACTACTGCTTCTGTCCACTGACATCTCATGTCTTAAGAGTTGTAAGGAAACTTTCAAGTCCTCTAGTCCAGTATTATTCTTTGTTTCTTTGTTGTTTCTTGACACATCTATATTAAATCCCAATAAAAAGGTCAGAATAGTTTTACATACTGTCTCACCTAAACTGTTCCAATAGGGATGATGGAGGGGAGAAGAGGACAAGGGAGCAGAGGAAAGAGAAGAAAAGAGGAGAGGGAAGGAAGGGGAAGGGAAGAGGGTAGGGCAGGATAGGACAGGAAAGAAAAGGGATCTCAGTTTAGAGAATCATTCTTTTTTATATGTGGATTTTAAAAGGCAGAGAGAAGTAAATTGACTTGTTACAAGGAAGTTAATGAGGTAATCAGATAAGTGATCTAAGAATGCTAGTTCCACAACTTGTGTCTAAAGGATGGAAGAACAATCAGTTGAAAAGTTGGTCATTCATTAAGTTGTACTTCTGATAAACTTATGACTTCTGGCTATAATTATTAGGACTTATCATAATTGATTTTGATCTAGGAGTCAGTCCCAGATTTTAGGAATTAGGTGAATTTTTCAGCTTTTAGAATTATTAGACTATCATAATAGTATTCAAATTGGACTCCCTACCTCTAATCTCTTTTCTATCTTGTTTGTATTTCTCACAGCTACTAAAATAATCTTCCTAAGGCACATGTGACATCCCTCTCAAAAGTCTTCAGTAGCTTCCTAATGCCTATAGAATTGAATCAACTTCCTCACCTAGCATTTAGGCCCTTCACAGTCTGACTCCAGTCTACCTTCCCAGTGTTATTCCACAGTATTCCCTTTCATGGACTCTACGTTCCAGACAAACTACACTGTTAGCTGTTCTTCAGTTTCATCTTGCCACCTTCAGCCTCTTTGCATTCATTGTGAAAACTGTACATTCCTCCCTCCCCCATATCTGTAATGTACTCCTTGTTCCTCCTGACCCCATTTTAAATCCTCTTCCTCCATGATTCAGCTCAAGTTCTATTTCCCCAAGTCAGTCAACTAGCATTTCTTTAAATGCCTACTATGCATCAGACACTACCCCACCTTCCCCTGGTCCTAGAATTCTCTGGCTCCTTAGTTTTCTAGAGTACCTTGCTGGATTGCTCTGGTTCCCTTCTCCCATGCTTTGATTTAGACTTATTTTTACAACTGTTGTATCCCTTCCTGTTCCCCACTCAGTAGACTGTAAGTCTAAGGACGAGTGTGCTTTTTTTTTTATCTTCATGATAAAGACACCAACACACTGCCTTCTACGTAGTAGTTGCTTAGTAAGTGTTGAATTTCATGGTTGTTCAAGAAAAGAAAGTGTGTATGAGGCCAGGGTGAGGGGTAGTATGGGAAGAGAAGCCAAGTCCAGACTACCAAACAGTATTGATTCCTTTCCTCAGTTTGACACCCAAATTTAAGTCTCTTCAGGTCTCTAGATGGATTGGAAGTATCCCCTGCAAAGGCTCAAAAGGGAGCAAAACCTATCTAAGGTATTTTCTATGGTTTTGCCAGAGCACTAGTGACAACCAGCCTGTACCTATTCCCTTCCTGTATCCTCCCATTCATGAATATGAACTGATGCAAAGTGAAATGAGCAGAACCAGGAAAATGTTGTGCATAGTAACAATAATACTGTATGATGAAGAATTGTGAATCAATTAGCTATTCTTATCAATATAAGATACAAAACAATCCCAAAGAACTCATGAGGAAGCATGCTATCCACCTCCAGAGAAAGAACTGATATTGTCTGAATACAGACTGAAGCATGCTGTTTTTCACTTTCTCCCTTTATTTTTTTCATTTGAATACTCTTCAAAATGTCTAATATGGAAATGTTTTATATGATTGCACATGCATAACCTATATCTGATTGCTTACTATCTCAGGGAGGCAGGAGGGGAGGGAAGATGGAAAGGATAGAATTTGAAACTCAAAACTTTTTTTAAAATGTCAAAAATTGTTTAAACACATAATTGGGGAAAAATAAAATATCATATATAAAAATAATATTCATATTATCTACCTCACAGGACTGTTAAAAAAGAAAGTACATTTTAAACCCTAAAGTGCCAGGTAATGAGTTATTACAAACATTCCTGCCCTCCCTTTCCCTTAAAAAGTACTCTACAGAATGAACATGATTGGCATAAATAGTTGCAAAAGATGGTTTCCCATTCTGTTTCTGTTTGAGCCAAGGGAGTGCTTTGTGCCAAGCGCAGAACCCATTTCAGCCTCTGGGGCTCTACATTTCAAACCATACTTGACCCTTTTGAGGTTGAAGTCAACTTACTCTTGGCAAAGGGAAATGCATTGTTTGAAAAGGATTAGACTGTCATACCAAAGTCCTGTAACACTTCTTGGACATCACATGTGTCTTACAAAACAAAATTTTGATGAGCTAAGTGTAAATGAATCAGAAACATATGGATTAAATTTCCCTTAAAATACAAATGGATTTAAAAATTAGCAGAAAAAGGGGGCCTGGCAAAATGTGCTCTGAGTTTTGCCAACCTCCAAATGTTTGAAATCAAGTTTGAAAGACTTAACAAACCCACATGTAACTGTGGGGTTTGTTTGTTTGTTTGTTTCCTTTACTGGTTTGTTTAATAATCATAGTTAAGACGTAAGTGAAATGAGAAGCTCAAGGGAGGGAATGAATGGATGATAAGCAAGTAATACAGGTTTATTTCTTGTTTAAGAGTATATTGTCATTCTCTTTCCTAAGCCTCAATTTATGATCGGCTAACTAATGTTTTGCCTCAAATGCTTTTTTTTTTCAATTTAACCTTTGCTCCAGCCATCTTATGTTGCTTCCTATTTTTTCCAATTGTTTCCTTAGGTTTGCGCCTTCTGCTCCATCTCCCCACCATATCAGCCCCCGGAGAATGCCAGCCCCTCCTTCAGTCATGCAGAGACCACCACCTTCCCATGTTCAGCAGTCAGCAGGATCACACTTGAAGTCATACCAGCCAGTAACAAGTTCTTCCTTTCAACCAAATGGTATCCATGTCCATGGTAAGGAAAAAAGAAGTAGAAAATTACAGTGCCTAACTTTGAAAAAGCTTTATTGTGCTGGTAAGTTTGCCCCTGAATCCTCAGAATACATGAAGGTTCTGCTTCGGTTTCTTGTGGCCTTCCTCTGCAGTGATATGTATAAAAATAAAACAAGCCATGGAATCCCTCTGTATTTTGCAGACTTGAAAAATGAGGTGGCATTATTTTTGATCCTCACAAATAGTTCAGTCCATAGAATAGGGAGAATCCAGGCTGCAGGTTTAGAGTCCTCCAGCCCCCTTTTTCCTAGGTTTATCCATCACAATGTTATTTATGCATAATTATTCTCTGCTTCCAAAAGATGGTAGATTAGCCAGGAGAAAAACAAATATGCTACAAGAAGCTGGGATGGACCCTGTAGCCTAAGAAAGAGTAGTAGGTAAACCTGACTTGTCAGAAAGATGTTTGACTCTGCCAGCAGAACAAAGTTCATGGGCAAGTGGCTTCAGAAAGAGGGAGCAGGTAAGGATTCAGGCTGGGTCCTATCAGTACCTGCAGCACCATCTCTCCCCCAAGAAGAACCTTCTCCCACAAGGGAACCTCATTACTGCAGAACAGGGCAGAGGACTCCTTAATGGATTCCTCTCTGGACTGCCTCTGCAGATAACAGAGTCTGAGCCTGGCTAGCCTGTTTTATCTATTTCTCACCTTATCTTGGGTCAGGCAATGAGGTATGATGGAAAGAACACTAGATGACAAGTCTGATGGACTGGGTTCAGATCCCACCTCTGACACTGACTAAATGCGTGATCTTAGATAATCACTTAACCTCTCTGGCCCTCAGTTTCTTCAACTGTTAAATGGAGCTGTTGGACTAGAGGGCCTGAGATCATTTCCAACTTTTGATCTATAAACCTGTGATCCTTCTTCATGTCAAGTCCATTTTAATTTTGGTACCTTTGACTTGAATTGTCTGTCTTAAACCATAATGGAGGCTTACTAAGAGACATTCAAGTTTTCCTATAGAGCATCCATGATTTTTAATTAAATAATTAGACAATACTGGAATGTTAGTCAGGAAACCTGGATTCTAGCCAGCTCTAAACTGCTTTTGCGACTCAATTATTAAATTGTCAGTGTGAGAATTTACACTTCAGAAATTGGTAACCTTCATAAATCATGGCTTGACTTATTGCTCTGTGATTGTCTATACTTAAGAAAGTGTTAATAATAGAGTAAACTTAAAAGTGTGTGTGTGTGTGTGTGTGTATATATATATATATACACATATATATAATATGTATACATATATATGTGTATATATACATATGTATATGTATATATGTATGTATGTATACATATGCACACATATATGTGCAGAGTCTGTTAAACATTTAAAAGCACACCCTTGTATTACTCTATAATCATTGCTTAAGCCTCAAGAGTAGTATAGTAGAAAGTTCAGGGAATGAAATCATCATCAGACCAGCTGATAATAATTATAATAATATTAATAATAATAACTGGCATTTTATATAGTGCTTTAAGGTTTGCAAAGTACTTTACATTCATTATCTCATTTAAGCCTCAGGACACTCTTGGTTCTAGACCACTCTGGTGAATATCTTCCAGTCTTCATATGTCCAGCATGGGTGTCTTCATTGCCCTTTGAATTATTCTCAATTTTGATTCATTGAAATGGTGTTATTCTATGCTAGCATAAGCATCTCCTAAATATTGGTGTTAAAAATATGAGACTTTTTGTGCATCACACAGTAGTCGGGGATCATTGGATGTGTGATCTAAGGCAGTCTTCTCATTCCCTCCTTTCTGTTCAGTTATGACTGCAACTCATGTCTATTTGCAGTGCCCTTCTAAGATATATGTGTTCTGATGTTCTAAATCAATGGTTATATTAGGTCAGGAGTCAGTAAACTACAGCCCATGGGCCATATCTGGTCTACCACCTGTTTTTGTACAGCCCTCAAGCTAACTATTTTTAGCCCTGTTTTGGTCCAGGTACCATAGTTTCCTAACCTCTGGTGAGGCAATAAACAGTCTTCATCTTTCCTTTTTTCCTATGTAAATTGGTAGGTCACTCTTTTGAGTGTTTGTAGATTTCACTGAGGAAACCATTTTTTTCCTTCATATATTTAATTTTATTTTAGTTCTGACTTTTCTTTTTTTTTAATTTTAGACTTAAATACTAAAACTTAAATACACAATAAGAAAAGAAAAAGAAACATATTATTAACTTAAATATTGAAACCTAAATTGAGGAAGCCTTTTGATATCATGGGTCTGGATCACCCTTTCCTCTCCAGCCACGTCTTGCACTACCTTGTCACCAGCGCACAAGTATCCTTTCCTCTTCTCCCTGACCCTCCAGGTCTGGAGGCAAGGAACAATGATCATATCAACCCTGTCATTGCTCTTTAGCGGGGTATATCAGCTTCTGGCCCCATTCGCAATCCCAGTAACTTTCCAAGCTAATGTGCTCCTCCCTAGCCACCCTACACCTGTATGTTGTCTCCTCCATTAAAATGTAGGCCACTTGAGGACAGGAACTGTCTGCTTTTTTGTCTGTATCTCTAACATTTAGCCCACTATATGGCACATAATAAATGCATGATGAATATTTTCGTATTCATGCATTGATACTCCAAGACATTTATAAACAGGAACAACTGAATGACCTTATTATTTCTAGATAAGCTGTCATCCATTTGATCTCTGCATAGGACATCCTCCATGACAGTGGCAAATAATTTTGGCAAGCAGATATCACCATTTCATGCCTTGTTTGATATTAGTAATCCCAGGATCTGAAGATAGAAGGAATCTTAGAGATCCACTAGTCTGCTCCCTTCATTTAACAGACAAGGAAACTGAGACTCCAAAAGGATAAGTGACCAGCCCAAGGCTGTTTAGCAAGGTCATGAAAATAGCATGCAGCTATACCCTAATGAAAGACCTGCTGTGTTCAATCAGTGCCAATATTGCTATGTGAAAGTATCCTTGTGTTCTTGTTAAGCATGTCTTCCAAGGAGTTCATGACTTAATCAATCATCATCTCAGAGTTCTGATGGCATCTGACTCAGATGCCCTCAGAGTTCTCCATAGTAGATGGAGGTCGAGAAGAAATGTTATTAACATTTTTAATAGGGAGGAACCAAGGCAAAGGGCAGCACAAATTGTCGGGCTGTGTCTTAGGTATGGAGTCACCCTTTAAATAGCGTCATGTCTACATTACTGGTGACTGATTTAGAAACTAAGTCAAGCTGGTGTTCCATTAACAGCTTTTTAAAGAAGCGTTTGATGAAATGCACATTTCAGAAAGACTGACATACATACTATTAAGTTCCTCACCCAATGAGTTCTTCAAGACCAGAACTCAACTGTTGTTTTTCCCTTTAGCTGTATGTAATTATATAGAACGAAAATGTGAAAATGTGCAAAAGTGTACTAACTAGCTTGTGTGACCTTGAGAAACTCCCTTCCCTCAGCCTCAGGTTCCCCTTCTGTAGAATAAGGGGTTTGCACTAGATGCTCTTTAAGGTCTGTTCCAATTATATATGAAACAATGTGGTGAAGTCGAAAATGTATTTGATCTGTTGTTTGAAGACCTGGGTTCAAATTTGAATTCTGCTACTTAGTATTTTCTTTGTGGCACTTTGGGCAAATCATTGCACCTCTTCACCTTCCTGGACCTCAGTTTCTTTACCAGTAAAATGAAATTAAAGACTAATTTTAAAACTACATAGGCTCTTAGAAATTTGGCCCAACTTTCTCACTTTGCAGATATGGAAATTGAGGTCCAGAGAGCTGTGATTTTGTCCAGGGTCACAAAGTGAATGAGCATCGGAGTGAGGACTTGAACCCAGGCCTTCTGACTCCTAATCTGTCATGCCCCATTGCCCCTTTAGTTTCACCTTGCTCTACCTGAACATTATCTTCCCTAGGAAACCTTCTGAATTTCTGAAAAATCTACAGATCAGCTTAGCTTTGGTATATCCAGGTTTGAACTTGATACATTCTTTTTACTCACTTCAGTACATTTCTTAAAAAATATGATGTCCACACAGGACATGATTCATATTCTGTTTAAGTAGAGTACCAATCCCTGCACTAAAGCTCAATTACAGGAAGACCTTTTTTCTTCCTTTGTGCTTAAAAATGTTTTTAAAAGAAGACCCGGGTAAATGAGGAGGGAATATCTCCATGCAAAGACTGAAGGAGTATTCCTTTGGGTCATGTACAGATCAGAAGCTGGATAGATAAAGAACACATCCCTTCTCAGATCTCAGCTTCCTCTGTGCCATTTTAAACACATTCTTCCTCTCCTGGGACATCACTGGGAAACTTTCAATACTATTTTATGGCATAGGATTCAATTCTTTTTTTTTACTCTAAAAATAAAACTCTTTTCCAGAACATTTCCCCCTGATCTGCTATAATTCTGCAAGAAATAATAATAGCTGACAGTTATATAGCACTTCAAGGCTTGCAAAGCACTTTACATACGTTATCTCATTTTAGCTTCATAACAATTCCATGAGGCTGGTACATTTCTACATCATTTTACCAGTTAGGAAATTGTGGCTTGAAAAAAATGAAATGACTTTCCAATGATCGTACAGTTAATAAGTATCAGAGTGGGGATTTGAACCAAGGGCTTTTAAGTTTGTTGGGCCTCAGTTTCTTCATCTATAAAACTAAGGAATTGGACTAGATTATCTAGAACCTTTCTGGCTCCAGATCTATGATCCTGTGATTTTAGGATCTTTGAGTTCCTTCCCAGATGTAAATTCTAGGATCCCAGGCTCTACCAGATAGGACAAATAACTATCATGGCAAACTATTTTTCGAAGACCCTCATTTTTTTCCTCTTTAATTTTATAGTGATTAAATACAGTGAGTACTTTTGTGTAGCAGTTTGAGACAGTAGGAAGTATGCTGGTGTTGAAGTCAGGACCTGGGTTCAAATCCTAGGTTTGTAACTTACAAGCTGTGTAATCGTG